ATATTATTTCCATCTGAATTATTTATTTTTCGAGAATACTTCTCAATAATCTTTTTAAATTCTGGTAATTCTTTTTCATTTGAATTACAATAATCTTCCAATTCCTTAATCGCTGACTCTTTAGCTTCTTTTATACTCCTAAATTTTTTCTCTTCTAAGTCCTTTTTTCTAGTTTCAATAGCCTCTTTCATAATCTCACTAAACTTGCTAATCTGAGTAGGTAAATATAACTTGTCCAACCTTGCTTGTCAACTTTTAAATCCTTTTCATAAGTTAGCATCTAAATCAGTAGCAGTAATAGGTAAATTCTCTCTAAATGCCTCTTCAATCTCCTTTTTAGCCTCATTTCTTTGCTCAGGTAAGAAAAAGAAGAGATAGTAGCCTATTCCTGCTAAGAGCATAATCACTAAATACTGTAATTGCTCTTTTTGCTTGTTTTCTTCTTCTGGATGAGAGGGAAATAGGTTCATGGTAGGTTATGTTCTTGGTCTTTTTAAGAATTCAGCCCTTTTTAATATTCGCTCTTCGGCCAAGGCTTCTATTCTTTTACGCTCAGTCTCAGTAAGTTCTCGTGGCTGAGGGGTTTCTTTTTGCGTAAGGAGGTAAATGGAGATAACTAGCAGAGCGATTAGAGCCAAAATCAAAGCACCCCTTTGTCAGGATTCAAGGTGCTGTTCTACTTGTTCAGTAACTTCACCAAGTTTATTTTTAATTTCTGCTGAGTTAGTCATAGTTAGAAGTCGTAATAATTAGGTTCTTTTTCTTGTTTTTGAGAGTAGAGGTAAAAGATGATTAGGAAAGCAACACCGCTAAGAATAATTAATTGCTTATTTTCCTTAAATCAGTCTTTCTTAGTTTCTTGCTCCGTATCTTCTTCTGCATCATCGCCATCGTTAGGGATGTCATTATCGCTGTCAGAATCACGAGAGCCAGTAGGATTTTTATTCCTGCCACCAGAACCAGAAGGTTTGTTTTTATTGCCACTGTTTTTAATGGCTTGTTTTATTGATTCTATTAAATCATCAATTCTCTTGTTAGGGTCAAAGTTAAACTTGTTGGAGAGTTCCTGTTGTTTCTTCATATTTGCCTTTAATTTCTTACCATCATCTTCAATTAATTGTAAAAGAAGGGCTTTTTGAGTCGGATCTTTCTCATTCATTGCCTTTCGCTTATTTTCTTCTATCTTTTTCCTAATTTCTGCTTCCTCCAATTTAAGTTGCTTAAGTTCTTGAACCCACTTATAATCTTCTCTTTCTAAATCACTTTTTAACTTGGTCAAATCATTTGTAAAAGACTTTAATTTTGAAATAACATGCTTATCCATACCTTCTTGGGATCAAATGCAACAGACACCAAACATGGAACTAGAAGCAGTTTTTTCTTGCAATCCTCTTAAAGATTCTTCACACTTTCTAATGTAATTACTTTTTTTAGCATCATACTCACTTTTACTGGTACACTTTTTTAACTCTTCTTTGATTTCTCTTAAACTTTCCATTTTACTAAAAGAACCTGCTAGCGTTTGACAATCATCCTTTAGATTATGTCCCCCTCCTCAATCACATTTTCCACCAGTTCAGTAACCGGCGTCATTAGCATATTTTTTTCTACCTCTTCGGGATCCACCAAGGTTTTTGAATTGTCTTTCTAAGTTTTCTGCTGTATATGTCATAGTTCTGAAACTTTATTCTTGCTTAATTTCTTAAATCTCCCCTCTTCTGATCATTCTTTTTAGTTTTTCTATGTCATTATCAGTAATTAAATTCTTTACTTGTTCTAATTTCTTTGCTAGAGAGTAGAGTTCCTTGCCTACTAATTCATTATCCCGGGCATAGATAACCCGTTGGGGAGAAGCAGGACTGCGATAGACCGTTACTTGACCATTCTCAGTAGTTCAGGAAGTAGAGTCTTTGAGTTGAATAATTTTCTCTTTTAAATTAGTTCACGCTGCCATTAGTTCTTCTTGTTTTTTTTTTTTTTGCACATTAGTCTACTTCTTCAATGGTGGGTCCATCATAGGGAGAATTATTATTGTCTCTTTCTCTCTTTCAACCACTAGTTAATTCCTTAAACATGGTAATGACACTCGCATAATTTAATTGTAAAAAAGAAAGGGATTCCTGACTAGCCAAGGTTTGATTTCTCATCAGTTTATCTTTATGCTGATCTAGTTTTACTGAGTATTCCAGACTAGTTCAGCGGTCTAAACTTCTTCTAATATGGTCATGACTAAGGGGAAAAGCCGGCAAGGGACTTTCTAAGGTGGTTTGTTCGGCCAGAAACTCAACTGCTTTTTGAAAATTAATGACCTTAGTTTGACAACTCTTTCATTCTCTTAAAACTTGTTCACGGAGCATATTATTCTAATTGTTGACTAAGTTCTTTAAATTCTTTAAATAAAGTTTCTAAAACTTGTTCATTTTCTTGGTTTTCCTTAGTTAGTTCTTCCACTTTACGATTAGACTCTTGAAGTTTAGTGTTGGTTTCGGTAATGGTGTTATCTTTTTGCTGTAATTTCTGAGTAATCTTTTCTTTTAAAATGGTGAATTCTTTGTTAAGTAATTCGAGTTTGTTTTTTAACATGTTATTTAAGGGATTTATTTAGTTGTTGAATATTCTTAATGAGTTGGTCCAGAATTGGTTCTAATTCTTGATTATCTTCTTCAGATTTAGTTTCAGTTTGGGTTTTTTGGTCCTGAGTTAATTTAAGGGGTTCTAATGGCTTCTTTTGGTGGGGTAGGTAATAGAAGAAGTAGTAGAGAAGGGCAATTAGTAGGGTATAGAATAGTAAGTCATTCATGATTAGTGTTCTTTATCTTGGCTAAGTAAATAAACGAGCAAGACTAAACTGCCCATTCTAATTCAAGGTCAATAGTCAAAGGAGTTTTCTTCATGCTTAGCATCGGGCTTAATGGTTCTTAATTCAATTATTTTTTGGGCTGATTTCAGGTCTTGCTGAGTAATAGTGAGGTCTTTTTGGAGTTGACTTATTTGTAATTTGAGTTGTTGAGTAAGTTTGCTTTCTGTTTGGTATTTGGCGAGGTAATCAGTTTGTTTTAAGTTATTGATTCTTAACTCATTATTGTGGTCAAAAAGTTTATTCTTTTCCGTAGTTAATTCTTTAATCTTCTCGTCTTTAGACTGGAGGGATTGATTGGCTTCTTGTTTAATCCGGGAGATTTGTTCGGTCAAGGCTTTAATTTGGGCCTCTTTTTCCTGAGTTTCAGGATTAGACTTGGAGGGTGGTTTTAAATCTTCGGCCGAACGGCTTTTTTTAATTTGAGAAGGTTTGAAATTACC